TATAATGCTTTTGGCAAAAGGTTTTTAAAAATCAAATTTCAAGGTAAATAAATTATGTGAATCTTCTTCCTGTAATAGTTTGGTCAATTCATTATTTCACTTCAAACAAATTTTTAACAGAAATTGTAAAATAAACTTACCTTTAGAATTTGGACGAATTTACAGAGTTATGCCCCTTTTCAGTAATTTATGATTTCCCCTCATTAAATTTCTCTCAACTATTTACTTCTTTATTTTAAATATATTAAGATTTATTAAAAACCAAATTATTTCTGTTGCAATAGGTTTGAGATTTAACCACATTTTAGCTAGATTGACAGAGCCATAATTCAGAACTGAAAAAACCCACAATACATGTATTATTATCATTTAAAAAAAGCCTAATGGGCCATGACAAATACTGACTTCATACAACATCCTCTTCAAACTCTGCAGATCTTTCATCTTCTAGAGAAAAAGTTGAAAATGTGAAAAGTGTCATTTTCTATGGTGTCATGTTTGTATGTTGTTTATTGTCCCTCTCAAGAATTTTTCACTCATATGGAGAAACAACCACTTTCAGATGGAGAGCTGCAAATTTTGCTCGGCACTCAGGGTCACTGAGCAGTAAGGGATCTTTTTCTGCTCACCATTTACTGCGATACGGAACCTGGGTTTAAATGGTCTCATCTGAAGGACTGGTCTCCACGACGCGTCCCACAGTGGATTTGAACCCTTGACGTAATTAAAGTCCTCACTTTGTGTATAATAGTGTCATGCGAAATGGGATACTTTGTATGGTGTATCGAGATCATAGATTTTTTGTATGGTGTATCGAGAACTTTGGATATTTTTCATTAGGTCATGGGATACATGTATTTTCAAATTGTATGGTGTCATGGGATATTTTGTATGGTGTCATACCGGGGTATATTTTGTATGATGTCATTATTTTGTTGTCCATCGGGGTGTTGTTTCGGGGATAGGTACAGAAGTTTAAAATATATTAACAAATAGCCCTTCATGGAGATGTATACTGTCCCCTGGATAGGGATAATCCAAAAAATCCATTAAAAATTGGTTCCTCACAATCATTGATGATTCAACAATATTTGAGAGAGGAAAAGAGGACTGTTAATGTAATATATGATCCTGGATCATTTGTGGTCAATTTCCAGATAGGTAATTAATTTTGGAGGAGGGTCAATAAAGTATTTTAAACGTAGATGGAAGTAGTCTGCATGTTCATGTTGGGATGAAGTCATCTATTGTAACGTGCAACGCGGCCGAACTTGGTGTTTGGTGATGACTTGTATCACCGAGGCGTTACACTCAGGTTCGTTAACCTGTTAACTCAGATTTTTGTTGACCAAATAAAATATAATCAAATATATACAAATACAATGGGTTTCTTCTTGATTGGACAACCACTAACTGTGGTCGACGGGTGTCTCCCGCAATGAATTTCACTAGTCCTGCCACTCCACTAGTACCGCTGCATCTTGGCACTTCCCCCACCTCTAATTGTGGTATGCCACCTCTCTCTACAACCAAGTGACTGCCTTATTCAGGTCTTACGTACATTGGTGTACTGTGAAACGCTTAGCCGTTTATCCCCTGCATCCGTCTGCCTTATTCAGGTCTTGCGACCGTATGCAAGAGAAGAAACAAACTAATGTTTATCCACTCCATCACCAGAGAGGTCCCCTGAGTTTCTGTAACACAACATGTATTACCTCAGTGCAGCCCCAGTATATAGGCAGTTTCATACTACTTGTATGATCTGAGAATTAATATTTTTTAGTGTTTAAGAATTTATATAAGAACGTAAGTCTCACGTTAAAACGAAACTAAATCACAAAACCATTTCCGTTCCATTACCCTCCCCTCAAGATTATATGCGTCCCGCATATGATTAACTATTTACAATTTTTTTTTACATCTATATACAATTCTTTGCTTTGCCTGACAATTTGTGATGTCTCCATAGGCATCTAGGAATGCATCTTTGCCCTGAGGTTCTCGCACATCACCAGGTGCTGATGCGTAGGCCAAATTGGTTAGTCGTCTAATGACCTGACCTAACTCTGGTATTGACTCAGATGTTCTTTGCCTTCGTTCTTTTAGCTGAACACAATACAGATCTGATTGGTTAGGAGGGGAGAACCTCTCCTCAAGGGATCTGACCAGTGTTTCATAATGCTGACCAGTATCACTTGGTAAGTCACCCAACACTGACTGTGCTTCGCCACGCAGTGATACAGCTAAGTAAAGACCTTTGTTATCTTCTGTCCAGCTGTTTACAACTGCACAAGCCTCAAAATGTGACTTGTAGTCAAGCCAGGAACTGGTTCCGTCATACGTGGCTAGCTTGATTATATGGCCTGTCTTGGGATTGTCGGTCCCTATTGACTGCCTCTGTGGTTTTGGGCTTTTGGCGGGTCAAACAGATGGCCCGTCACAGCGTTGTCAACCATGTGGTGTAAAGCTTGGTTTGCCTTCGTCTGGAAATCTAACTTTAGGCCGTGCGCCGTACTCGTCAAATGACACATCTCCTGACATACCGGCCGGTTGATTGTCAGTTCTGTGTGTTGCATATCCAGACTCTTGGCTTGCCGCATTTGTCTGACCATCATTGCTGGTTGGCGTTTTCATCTTTGCTAAGAGCTTCTCCATTCGCTCTATAGTTTCTGACACTTTCTTAGACGAATCCATGGTCAACAAAATCCAAACGCTTGCTACCAAATAATGTAACGTGCAACGCAGCCGAGCTTGGGTGTTTGGTGATAAGTCTTGTATCACCAGGGCGTTACACTCAGGTTCGTTAACCTGTTAACTCAGATTTTTGTTGAGCAATACGATTATAATCAAATATATACAAATACAATGGGTTTCTTCTTGATTGGACAACCACTAACTGTGGTCGACGGGTGTCTCCCGCAATGAATTTCACTAGTCCTGCCACTCCACTAGTACCGCTGCATCTTGGCACTTCCCCCACCTCTAATTGTGGTATGCCACCTCTCTCTACGACCAAGTGACTGCCTTATTCAGGTCTTACGTACATTGGTGTACTGTGAAACGCTTAGCCGTTTATCCCCTGCATCTGTCTGCCTTATTCAGGTCTTGCGACCGCATGCAAGAGAAGAAACAAAGTAATGTTTATCCACTCCGTCACCAGAGAGGTCCCCTGAGTTTCCGTAACGCAACATGTATTACCTCAGTGCAGCCCCAGTATATAGGCAGTTTCATACTACTTGTATGATCTGAGAATTAATATTTTTTAGTGTTTAAGAATTTATATAAGAACGTAGGTCTAACGTTAAAACGAAACTAAATCACAAAACCATTTCCGTTTCATTATGAATTTCAAAGACATTACTTGACGATAAGCAAGTATACAATATGTTCCAGGAAAAAACAGCAATAATTGTTTTAAAAATCTATTTAATAAAAAATGTGACATTATATCTTTTTTCATGGCGATTTGATGATAAGCAAGTTTACAATATGTTCCTGAATTTTGGGGAGGGTTTCACACAAGAGTGAGTGAACAAACCTTGTATTAGAAAACACAGCATGTCCATGTCATTCCATGTTGATTTGGTCCATACAATCATGTTATCACTTATGATCAACATTATGATTAGCAATTGAGGAATAACAAGTCTCTCTGTGTGTTATACAGTCGAACCTCATTATCTTAAACAAGGTGGGCTGAGAAAAAAAACTTTGAGATATCAGAAAATTTTCCCTAAGGGTCCGGAATACCAGGTATTCTTTGTAAAACTTCTAAGAAGTGCGTTTCCTTAATCTCAGCGAGATGTCGAAGGGACTAAAAATTATGGTCTGGTGACCTTCGATGGGGGGAGGGGAGTACTTTAATACATATGTATGTTTATTTGAAGAGGCTAACACTCCCATCCCCTTAAATTTGTAATAACCATGTACTAGAATATATTCATTCACCTGGAAGGTAATTAATGATTTTTTTTTACAATGGAATGTTGCTAGAACAGCCAATCAGAGAGATTGGACTTATAATATAACAACACAGAATTAAAGCTTATTATAGATTTTTGTAATGTTCAAAGCTAAGAACCGTGAATTTGATGATCATCAGACTTTGAACTGTGTCAACCAAAGGCATTTCGCTTAGTTAAAGGTACTTGGACACAGATTTGAAGTCAATATTTTTTCTATAATATTACGACATATTTTAATAGCATTTCACACAAAAATTAATAAAAAATCTTATTTCATTTAAAAGTTATTAAACTTTAAATTTTTTGGCAGGTTTGATAGACACATCCGTGCATTTTCACAAATTTTAACCTTAAATATTCTTAATCCTCAGGAAAAGTCGCAATCTTGTTGTGTATTAATAAGAAATATTAAAACTTTTATCCAGAAAAATAATTTTATTCAGAGTAGAAATGTTAGAAAGCAAAACTCCTTCACAATAATTGTCATTCGGAACTAAGAGTTGCGTACAGAGTTTAGCAAATCGAGCACACTCGTGTTATGTACACTGCTTTTCTAAACAGGGCACGAGTTCTGTTATTATTAATTGTTTACAATTCACCGGGTGCGTTCAATCGTCACAGTCTTTACTTTCGAACATAGCTACTCTGAATTTTCTGGATTATAGTACTAATATGTTTCATTTATACACAACGAGATTGCCACTTTTCCTGAGGATTAAGAATAGAATTAATTTGTGAAAGAGCAAGGATGTGTCAATGAAACCCACCAAAAAATTTGAAATTTTAATATCTTTTATAAGAAATAAGATTTTTAATTAATTTTTGTGTGAAATGCTATAAAAATAAATAAGTCGTAATATTATAGAGAAAATAATAACTTCAAATCTGTGTCTAAGTACCTTTAAGATTTAAAAAAAAAGGGGGGGGGTGCCAAAAGTTCTTTTAACCCTACAATCGCTGCAAGAGCGATAACTCTAATTTCAGGACGATCAGAAACCCTGAACCGTGGAGAAGACAGATCTTGGGCGGACACCATCGTGGCCATGTAGACGTGATGAAAAAAAGAACTGACGAATGACTTATGTCATTCTACCAATGTGAGACAAGTTTTCTAGTGACTACAACGGTAATTATCTTTAGAAACTCATTAAAGAAGGTATTCTTGCAAATCGCCAAATGTACTTTCGGTTTGAATATTTTCATGATCATTTTTGAACAAGGTCATTTCTAATTTATCCTAAAATTGAATCTCGAATTAGTTAAGTCTGTAAATATGCAATAAAGTTGTTAAAAATAGATTCCAACATTAACAATTTGTTATTCTAAATACCATATTTCATGTATAATTATGTACCTTTATTATCATGATTATACAGTTAGATACAAGGAAGTAATATTCATTAGTATTTATTGACGAGTCCAAATGATTATTATTAATTCATAAAAATGCAGGATTAATTTTAGTAACAATGCTATTCTTTATATTTATAGAACTTCTACAGAAACTATGGATCCCCGCCTCAGTGCCCAGGATGTGATCAGATGTGACCTTTGTGAGACAGCTGTAGTACAGATGTACTGTGATTTCTGTCATGTCAATCTTTGTAAACCTTGTATTGGAGAACATATTGCTGATGATTATAACAAACATCAAATAGTCCCATTCCAACAAAGAAAATCAACCTTGATTTATCCAAAGTGTGCAACACATCCAAGCAAATCATGTGATTTACAATGCAAGGAATGTAACTTTCCTGTTTGCTCCTTCTGCTCTGTTTCAGAACAACATAAAGCGCACAATGTTTTAGTCCTTGCAGAAGTATACGACTCCAAGAAAAAAGATATCGCAAAAGATACAGAGGAATTACGAAACATTATTTCTCCTACATACAAAGAAATCATATACGATCTAGAAACACAGATGACTAATTTGAATGGAGAATATGAGAAACTAACAACAGCCGTGACAGAACATGGAAAACAATGGCACAGAGAAATTGACAATGTCATCAATGCCATGAAGAAAGAAATTGATGATTTTAAAGTAAAACACTTTGGCATTATGAAGAAACATGCAGAAGAAATGAAACAGATAAAGACTCTTATTGAACAAACTCTGCTTAACTTGAAGGAAATAGAAGAATCAAATGAGGTGCCAATGACCACGGGATACAGCTCCAGAAACAAAGAATTCAGCAAACTTCCTCCCAAAGTGAAGGTATCACTGCCCATTTTTAATGCTAAACCAGTAGATAGAGAACAGCTCTACAAGTTGTTTGGATCTCTTGCACCATTATCTACCACAGCAGAAGTAAATGGCTACAAGCTAAAGAAACCAGAAACATTAAACAGAGAGCTGATGCCAGTGATGGAAGAACCAGAACTTATTACTACTATAGATACTGGGTATGAAAAACTTTACAATGTTACCTGTATCAGTGAAGAAGAAATCTGGACAAGTGGAAGAGTCAGTGATATGAAATGCTTTAATATTCAAGGCTCACTTCTCAAAACAATTAGAACAAAATCAGGGGAATTGCCAAATGATATAGCAGTGACCGGTGATGGAGATCTAGTATACTCTGATGGGGTGAAAGGGACTGTTAATAAGGTTACAAATGGAAAGACGAAGAAGATGATCAGACTACAGGACTGGAGACCTGGTGAACTCTGTGTCACCTCCTCTGGGGACCTCCTGGTTACCATGTTTAGTGATGATGAAACACAATCCAAGGTTGTCCATTACTCGGGCTCCAAAGAGAAACAAACAATCCAGTTTGATGAAGAGGGTAAACCTCTGTATTCAGGAAATGACAAAAGTAAGTACATCAGTGAGAACAGAAACCTGGATATCTGTTTGGCTGACTGGGAAGCTGGTGCTGTTGTAGTTGTCAACCAAGCTGGAAAACTCCGATTTAGATACACTGGTCATCTTTCTACTGTAAAGAAGAATCCATTTAAACCCTTAGGCATCACAACAGACAGTCAGAGTCAGATCCTGACAGCAGACAGTAATAACCACTGTATCCACATCCTAGATCAGGACGGACAATTCCTCCGTTATATAGATAACTGTGATCTGAAGGATCCATGGGGTTTATGTGTGAATGAAAATTATTTGTTTGTTGCTGAATGGGGAGGAAAGTTAAAGAAAATTAAATACCTTGAATAGAGATACACTGTATATTATGTATTTGCTTGTGAAAAGGTGATTATAATGGGTCTATTTTTTTTATATAAATTTGAAATATTTCATTTTGTGGGATAACATTTCATTGCAAAGAATTTTTTTCAATTTTTCAGAAGATGAAGTCTGGAAAATGTAGACTGCATAAACATGATAAATATCAAATTATTTTCAGATTTGATGAAAGGATGTTACATTTTTATAATAAGGATACAATATTAGATATACATTGAGATCATGATTTGCTGTTTTTCATTTGAATTGAATAGAATTAATTGTCACTTCTTATTTAAAATAATTTCTTCTTAAGTTTATACATGTAGGTTTAACACATTGTGAATAGATGCTGTATATTATGCTTTAAGTGCGTATGTTTGTACCAACTTTTGTAATATTTAAGACAATTCTGTAAACGTATTACATTTAGTGGTGTATTATATTTAGCGATTTTGGTGGAAAGAAGAGTCCGCTAATTCAAGCACATCGCTTGTGTCTTGTCTATTAACATTTATAGCTACGTGTAGCACATTCAGACAGCATTAAATCAAATCTACGCTAACTTGTTGAAAATTGAATTTCCGCCCAATATCGTAGTTGCCAAATGTAATACAATTACAGTATTATCATAATATATGAAATAAGTTGATTTTATTTTTGCTATAGGTTAAATATCAAGGGTAATGTGGTATTCTATGTAGAAAATTAAGGACTGAAAGTTGAAGTTGGACTCTAACCCTCATCCCCGCATGAAAGATGATTTTCAAGTTTAGACAACTTTCAACGGAATATCAAATCAATTACAAGTAAATGCTATAGGTGCCTAGGAACGGAGTCAACCTCGCTTTATCTACACCTAGTTTTTTTCGAACTGAAAAAAAATTGGCGATAACTACAGGTGATTTAGATTTTAAAACATCCACAATAATACAAATCTGTAAACTGGTTATAAAAATGGACCCTTGGAAAGTTCAGAGATGGTGTTATAGCCATTTTACTCATGTTCAAATTTTAGCGCCATTATGTCAGTGTATTACGTCAAAAGTTTTTGGGTACACATAATTTTCTTGAGTACTGCACGGGCAGTGACATTCGCTGGAAGGTATCATTCTCTGGTCTGTACTTTTGTTCAATGCATCTCTGGAATTGGGGAAAAACTACTTATTCGGTAAGCCAATTATTCAAACACCAGCACACCCATATGTATTTGTATGCATTTCTTGTATTTTATTTATGAATCAGTATTTTTTATACTCTGATAATGGTCTACATAGTCGAGCATATTGGATAATCATTACTTCTTATGTATAGCTACATTTATAGATTTATTGTATTGAACACAATATTTTTAAATTATTTATAAGATTATTTGATAGGTCTGCATATCTGTTGTTTAGGATAGGTGTTAAATGCATTTGGCTTAAACTGTGTATCGCAAGGGCAATAACTCTCATATCCATTTGTAAACACCAATTTTAAAAGTTAGATATTTTTATGCATACTCAGTAATATATGGAACGTTAACTTATAATGTATTATTTTTGGTTATAATCTTTAATATTGATAGCATATATTCTGGAATTTATTACTAGTCTGAATTGTCTTGGCACTGCCAATTTTCTAGTCCGAATTGTCTCTGTTTATTGGTATTGCATTGTGTTACAAGAATTTTTGTTTACAATATTTTATTTTATTTACTTTACAGTAAATCGTATGAGGTATCGTATGTTTACGTATGATGACTTATGATGAATCGTATGATGAATAGTATGATGTCAGTCATGTGATATATATGATGAAACCTATATGAGCGAATGTTCCTATGAATGAAGTTGAATAAAGACAATCGCATTTACAATTTCTCAATCTTTCTCTGGGCATTGAACAGTACAACATTTACGAATAAATATCAACAGCCATGTGTGATTCAGAAGAAAGTGATACAGAAGAGCAGCCAGGACAGAGACACAGAGTGATGACTGAGAAAGGACTTTTTTACCAAGTGCAACAAAAGTTAAAGTTTAGAAGAAGTTGTGACCAGAAACTGTCCAAAGTAAGTGATAACATAGAACTGTTACTGCTAGAAAATCCGAGCAAAGATACAGTTAAAAATGAGTATAAGAAGTGGATGCAGATATACGAGGATTTGATTGTGTCACATAAAGAATATCAAGATTTGATATATTTAACACCAACTGAGAGAATCGAGGATGATAAGAATTTTCAGTCTAGGAATAGAAGATTCACAGCTTTGAAAGATTCTGTTGAGGATTGGATCTTGCGACACACAACACCTGACAATAAATCAGTGCGGTCCAGACCCAGCACAAGTTCTTCTTCAAGTCATCTTTCCATGGAAAAGTTAAAAGAACAACAGCGGAAAGCAGAACTCGTTGCCAGAGCCTCAGCATTACCAAAAAGAAAGGAATTGGAAGAAGCTAAACTTCAACTGAAATTAAAAGAAGAAGAACTTGAAATCAATACAGAGATAGAAATAACGGATGCGAAAACTTAAATTATCGAAGAAATGGAAAGGAGTGTTATGAGGAATTTGGACTTAGAAGAATCTCTTAAAGATCATTCAAGTGACAAGCCTGAAACAAAAGAAACTGCATCATTAAATCCGTGTGCACCTCTATGGGAAGATAGAAGAAAATCTTTACATTCACATGAAACATCTAATATGTGTCAACCACAGAATGCACCTTAATATGTATATGTTCCTCAGTCTACGTTTTTACCTCAGAGTTCACCTTACGTACATGTACCTCAGTATACGCATACGTTTCAAAACACTTCACATGAATCGTTACCAAGAAACGTACCTCATGATACGTACAATGCGTATATTCCTACGCCACCTCAGACGCCAGCTCTTCATGTCAGTGATAACCTTGTGCTGCATATTGTGTCTTCGCAACCATCTTCTTCAGTGCCAATTCAGACATCGACCAATAGTGATCATGGTATCTTGACCGTTGCGCGAGAACTGAACAAGCCAAGGTCGATTATTCAAACCTTTGATGGAAATCCGATGGATTACAAGAGATTCCTGAGACAGTTCAACACAAGAATTTCATCAAATACAGACTCCTTTGAAGAACGGTTGAACTACCTGTTGCAATATACATCAGGGGAAGCACACAAGATTGTCTTAGGATATTCACATATGGATGCAAAACATGGATTCAAAGCAGCGCTAGACGAATTTAAAGACAGATATAGAGATGCTGATATATTAGCTCAATCGTATGTGAAAAAGGCATTAGAGTGGCCAATTATAAAGACTGACGATGCAAAAGCCTTAGACGCTTATGGCATTTTTCTTAAAGAATGTCAGTTTGCAATCGAAAACGTGGAAGCGGCTAGAGTTTTGGAATATTCGGAAAACTTAAAACTGTTAGTGAAAAAGTTACCCCACTACTTACATGAAAAATGGAGAAACGTGGTGTATGATCTTAAAGAAAAGCATGAGATCGTGAAATTTCAACATCTTGTCAATTTTGTTTACAAAGAAGCGAAGAAAGCTACAGATCCTATATATGGAAGAGATATTCTGAGCAACACTAAAACATCAACCAAAGGTTTTCAAGATGGACAGCGTAGTCAACCTGGTAAATCAGTAAAGTTTTCTGGGACACACAAAAACTTTGCGATTGCTATGAATGAATCATCAAAAAATGTTCAGTCAGGCGCATGTGGTGATGTGTATACAACACAGAGACAAAAGACTGGAAGTGTCTTCTCAGATCCTTGTATATTTTGTAACGGAGGTCATTCACTAGATGTGTGTAGGAAATATGTGAATGTATCCTTGAAAGACAGATATTCATTTCTAAAGTCCAAGGGCTTGTGTTTTGCTTGTTTAAGACCTGAACATCTCAAGACTAATTGCAAGCAAAAATTGACTTGTAGTCATTGTCAAAAACTTCATCCTACTATTCTCCATGCAAATCCACAGAAGAAAGATGACAACCGAAAGAATTCAAGTGACGGAGATGGCAGTGAAGCAACAGCTTTGTGGGTGGCTGCTCATAAGGGGGCTGGAGAAACTGTGAAGCAGGCATTACCCATTGTGCCTGTTAGACTAAAGTCCAAGTGCAGTGACAAATATGTGACAACATATGCCTTTCTAGATTCAGGAAGTAACGCTACGTATTGTTTAGAGACTCTTGCGCATTCCTTAAACATTGAAGGAAAGAGAACAAAGTTGAATCTCGTTACCATGGGACAAGAAAAGGTCCAAGACACTTACATCATATCAGATTTGGAAGTGAGTGATATTCACGGAGAAAATACATTTGAACTGCCGCCTGTCTTTACGCAGTCTACATTACCAGTGTCCAGAAAGGACGTGATTTCTCCAGAAGACTTAAAGGAATGGCCACATTTACATGACATTGACTTGAATGTGATTGAGTGTGATGTAGGACTTTTGAATGGTGTCAATGCACCAAAGGCATTAGAACCGTGGGATGTTGTTTCTAGTGCAGAAAATGGTCCCTTTGCAGTGAAAACCTTACTAGGCTGGGTCATCAATGGGCCACTGGAAGTGACTCCAAATGACGACAGTAATTTGTGTGTATCCATCAATCGGGTTGATGCAAGGAGGCTAGAAGAGCAGATTCGTAACCAGTTTAACTATGACTTCAGTGAGAGGACAATTGATGACATACATGAGCCATCCAGAGATGACAGGAAGTTTCTAGATCTTGTATCAAAGTCTATTTGTTTTGAGGACGGACATTATCAAATTGGACTTCCATTTAAGTCTAATGATGTCAGATTACCAAACAACAAGAAGCAAGCTGAACAACGGTTATCGTCTCTTGTAAAACGATTCAATCATGATGAAAATTTTCACAGTGAATATTGCGAGTTTATGAACAAGATTATGAATGAAGGATATGCTGTCAAAGTTCCAACTGAAGAGCAAGTGGATGGCAAG